TTGTCCCATCAACAAACTTGTCAAGGGCTTTCTGGGTGCCAGGCCTTGGCATGGGCACCTAGTCATTCATCCTCAAAACAACCTCTCTCCGCCTCACCCTGGTCTCTCCAGCCCCCGCACGAAGGCCCCTCTGTCCTCCTCTCCTCACTCCACCCTGGCTGCCTCTGCTCTGTCCACACTGAGCTCTGTCTTGTCTCAGGGCCTTTGCACCTGCGGCTCCTTCTGCCCAGAATGCTCTCTAACTACCCTTCCCAGTCACCCTCTGCCACTGCCCCCAAGGCCGGTATCACAATCTAAAATCAGCTTGCCAATGTACTGTTTGTTGCGCGTCTCTGGCCAGAATGTCAGCTCCAGGGGCGGGAGGACCACCTAGGGTTCAGAGTGGGTGCTCCCCTGACACTGGCTGCATGTGTGCACGGAAGCCGGCACTGCTCTGCACTCACAGGGGAGGGAGCCCAGGCCCACATTAGCCAAGCATCTCGCCCAAGGTCACGCAGTAAGTACAGAGCAAAGCTCAGAGCTCCCCCACCATCTTACCCTGAAATGCTACTAAGCTCGCAGTTTGCCCATCTGTTCCCCCACAATGCAGTGACCCGCAGACAGGAAAGCAGCTCAGACTGAGGCTAAGACAGAGCTGGATTCGAATTCCAACGTCTCCCCTTGGTGGGCTAGTGACAGTCCTTCTCAAAGCCTCGGTCCCCGCTCTGTGAAATGGGCTTGCTCCCTCGGGGCTTCGGAGGACACCGGGAGGGGCTCAAACTCCAACCGTCTGGAGCCTCAGAACCCCCACCCCCAGCCCTCAGCCCACCCTGGCCTCCCTCTCTGCCCTGTCCATGGCCACAGTCAATGCAAGGTTGAAAACCCCCAGTGAGGGGCAGATGGCCAGCTGGGGCCACTGGGACTTTACGACGAGTCACGCGGGAGGTCAGCCAAGGTAAGAAAGGATAAAGGGGGGGGGGTTACAGAAAAACAGCAAATGAGAGGTTTAGGGTTATGGCGGGGAAGCAGGAGACAAAGGCCTCTCAGGTTCAAATATAACGTGTGAATTCAAATCTCACATCAATCCCTCATTCACCAGCTGTTGGGCCAGTGACTTTGCTGCTCCGTGCCTCGGTTTCCCCGACTAGGGAAGGGGGACGATAAACAGGACCGATGTTAATGGGAGGGTAAGGCACATAAAACACGCACAATGATACCTGGGGAGGAGTGAGTGCTCGATCAACAAGGCTCTTCCCCCTTCACACCTCACCTCAACCAGGCATCTGCCAGATGCCATCTCCTAGGCGAGGCCTTCCCGGACCTCCCCACCCCTCCCTGCCCCACTTTCCTTCCTTCCTTCCGAGCCCTTGCCTCCACCTGTCATTATCTTGTTCCTGTTATTGGATACCTAGTCTCTGTCTCCCCCTATAAATTGTCGCCTCCATCTTAGTCACCACTTGTCCCCAGAACCCAGCATAGGTCCTGCGCATAGTAGGTGCTCAAAATGCTTGCTGAACAAATGGAAAAAAAAAAACTCGACAAATAAATGTCTTAGAGACGAGGATAAAACAGTCCCAGGGAGGTCTAGAGAGGACTACTGAACAAATGAGAGAGAGAAAATAACTGGACAAATAAATGTCTTAGAGTCGAGGATAAAACAGTCCCAGGGAGGTCTAGAGAGGACTTCAGGAGGGGAGGAAATATTTGTTAGGTGTTTCCATGGAGCCTAAACTCCATCTAAAGTCCACCTTCTCTTTCCTACTCCACTTCCACCATCCTTAGCTGTGCAACCTTGGACAGCTCACTTCCCCTCTCTGAGCCCGTTTGCTTGGCAGGAAAATGCCAAGAGCAAAGCCGAGACCTCCAAAGGACTGATTACACTGACCGCACACCCTGAGCACAGGGCCTGGCAGCCAGCAGCGTCTCCAGCTTTCCTTTCTGACACCCACTTTTCTCCTTGGTTAAGATCACTAGGCCATGGGGCAGTTGCATAAGATGATGAGGTGTGAACGTGTTTTGTCAACTCTCCTGTCCTGAGCAAACACTGGCTGGGGCTCCCAGCTCGCCTCAGTGGTCAACCCCACCAAATGGGTCTGCGGTTACTATGACCAGCCTTCTCTGACAGAGGGAAGGATCCCGCCGTGGAGTGGTGCCTTGCGCGCTGTAAGCACTGAACTTGCTTCCACTATTAGTCCTAACTTGTCCCTAGCCTCCTGGACCCCCCTTTTTCTTCATCCCATCCTACTCTTTTACTTTTTTTCTTTCTTTTTTCCTTCCTTTTCGGGGGAGAAAGAGAGAGAGAAGGTGTACGGGACAACGCTTCAACCAACTGAGCCACACAGGTCAGGGCTACTCTTTCTTGTTACCTGGCTTTGGAATGATCTGGTCCCTGCAAGCCTTTAGCCCTCCTAGCCGAGGGATCCACAGGGCAGGTATCCCCCAGTCTGTGACGTTTCCTGAAGTCCTTTGGGCACAGCTCTGTCCACCCTGTTCCCACATCAGAGCCCTCAACCTGGTAACTATTTTTCCCAGCCCTCTTCAAGGGCGGTCAGATGGGCTCAGGTTCAAATCCCCTTTCTGTTGCTTCCAAACTGTGAAACCATGTGCAAGTCACTTAACTATGGTGCTTGGGGTGCCTGAGCACGGGGCCAGGCAAGGCGCCCTCCAGGTAGGGCCCAGGATTTAGGGCAGAAAGCCAAATTCCCAGCCCAAGCTTTCCCCAGAGACCTGGCATCTTATAACTGGCTCCACCCCTGTTCCCCCTTGAGCACTAATACCACTTCTGCGGGCCTCAGTTTACTTCTGTAAGATGGGTATAATACCTTCCGTGGGATGTTATGCCGGTTAGAGCAGGACATGAGTGTGTAAGGAGCTGCGCTCCAGGCTGGCCATGAGGCAGTGCTCACGAAAGGGGAGCCTGGGTGTCACTGTTTGACCACGCTGCTCCCTTCTCGCCTCCTCTGTGCCTTCTGCAAAATGGGTGAGCAGCAGCCACCAGCCACCTCTCAGTGACAAAGGGGAGAGCAGGGATTGGAGAGATTCATTCCGGAACTGTGACACCCCTTTCCCCCCAAAGACTGAGCCACCGCCTCCCCTAGGTCCATAGTCCCGGCCTTTGCACTCCAGCAGGTAAATCCTAGAGGGAGTTGAGCAGATGTGCTGTTGTTGGTACTGGACTGGATTGGAGGCTCCAGGGTCCTGGCCAGCCACCTGGCCACCCAGGGCCGCGGGGAGACCTGCTCAGAGCCACACTGGAGGCCCAGGCCCGGAGTGAGGTTCTCTCTGCCCAGCACTCTGCACAGCCCTCGCACAAACAGGGGACACTAGCATTAGGGAGGTAGAGATTGTCTTGATGCTCAGCTCCATAACAGTGGGGGCTGCGGGTGTCTGTCCCCCATGTCCCAGGCTCCCAAAGGGAAAGGGAGGGGAAAAGCATTCTGCTGTCCTCAAAACACAGTATCAACAGCTGCTCCCCAAACCCCAGGTTGCCCCAGGCCCTTGGCAAAATAATATATGAACCCCCCGTTTCAGCCCCCACTGCGGAGTTCCTAGGGCAGGGGGACCCCAAACCACTTTCTGGCCCACAGGGATTTGACAGCCAAAAACTACTCTAAAAACAGGCCCCATAATAGTACCCAACTCTCCAAAGGCTGTGAAGTTTAAATGAAATGGGGCAAGTCCAGGGTTTACCGGACGCCTGGCCCTTGGCAAGTGCTCGCCACACTCACTGCACTGCAGACTGGGGTGCCACATGCCAAGAGCCTCCCAGTGAAAAATAATAACAAGAGCAAAGGCTTATATAACACCTCCGGCGTGCCAGGCACCGCAGGACGCCGTACGTGTATCCACTAACCCCTCTGTCTACATCCTCAACTCTCAGGAATGCTGTCCAGAGCTGGAATGGGGGTGTGGGTGCAGTGAAAAGAGGCGGGAGGCTATCAGAGGGCAGGGATGAAGAAGCCTTGCCAGGGGCTGTTTCTGTCCCAGGGAATCAGGAACAGGGGCCCCCAGTTCAAACCGAGGCTCAGCCACCTTGAACAAGCAGGTGAGGTTGGCCTCAGTGTCCACATCTGGGCAGAGGGCGGTGGTAAGTCTCCCACTCCCAGGAAAGGGAGTGGACGTGCCGGAACCCTTCCCCCCACCTCCCTCCATCTGGCCGGGCTTCTCGCCTCCTGCCAGACAGGGACACCCAAACGGGCCAGGGACACACAACACAAGCTCGCCCACACATCCAGGCTCCTCTCTTAAAATATATATACACACAAAGTATTTTTTAAACAGCCCAACCCACTACACTTACCAAACGAATCTGCCCCAACCTGGGCTCAGCAGGACCAAGACCTGTACCCCCTCCTCCGGCAATCACAGGCCCTAAACCCTGTGCAGGGGTCACAGATCTCCAGGTCCCTCCAAACCCAAACCTAGAACTCAGGACCTTCCAGAGGCCCTGGACCCCCTCCCCAAACAGGGTTCCCAGTCATTCCTCCCCAGCACCCAGGGGCCCTGAGTCACCCTGAAAGCCTGGCCCAGCACTCTTCTGCTCCTCCCTCCCCGCCAGTGCTGGTACCCCCACCTCCAAGCAGAGACCATGGGGGAGTAGCAGAGGAGAAAAACCAGCTGCAACACCCCCACCCAACCGCAAAAAAAGCCAAAAATATTAGCAGCCCCCACGCACGACAACCCCCCCACACACACACACATACACCAGAAAAGCAAAAATAAAATCATAGAAATCCAAAATGAAGGGGAAAAAAGCAAAAGCCAACTACTGCCCCCAAAAGGCTTTTTAACCATTCTCAAAAAAAAAAAAAAGTTTATTAAAAGTGTTCTTAATGCTTGAAACGGAAAAAGATTCCCAAATATACAGACGCCTCTTTTCTCATAGAAATAGATTATTTTTTATAATACAAAAAAAAGACCAAAAAAACAACAACAACAAAAACAACATCAACAGCAACAACCCGGTGGAACATCTTTAAGCGATTACTCAGGGCCCGGCTGACAGTTACACGTGGGTTGCGTCAGTCCCGTGTACACACGCGTTCAGCCATGTTGAAGCCGATTGCATCAACTTCGATACCGGCCCGCCCGCCGGCGCCTGGACACGGGGCAGAGGGAGAGCCAGAGTTTATCATTCATCTGTACACATAGACATTTCTTCTTTAAATATCACGAGCGGGCGCCCATCTGCAGGTGCGGCTGGTTTGGACAAAAATATAGATATATATATAATAAAATATTAAAGTTACCAAA